AGCTGGCACATTTGGCAGGGAGGCAGCACCACATGCCTCTCCAAAGGTGTTTTTGGGTACTTGTTTCTACAAGAGCTCAGCCATGAAACCCTCCCCACTGCGCCAGGGGGAGGAGTGGAGAGAGAGCTCTGCTCCGTCCTGTCCTGCTGCCCTGCACCTAGTGCACGAGGATCCCAAGGATCCCAAGGACAGAGCTCCTTGGGAGCTTCCCCAGAGCCACATTGCAGCACAGCCGAAGGGTGATAAGAACCTGTTCCCAGCCCTGCTGGAGCCCTGCAGCATCAATGGGGCCGGACCCCTGTGCACACCTTGCTGCCGTGTGCCGCCTCCCACAGCCCAGGACCCGCTGAGCCCCAAGAGCAGTGCTGCAGCACATCACCCTGCACTGGTCTGTGACAAGTGGGTGCTGAGCACCCTGTAACCCCAGGTGTGCGCACAAGGCGCAGCGAACACCTGCCCTTCCTGGTACCTAAGAAACCCGATGCCAAGGCATGTACACGTTGGGGGGGGGGTTCCCCACATCCTCCCCGGATGGTTTTTGCAACCTTTTAAGCATCGGCTCCATCCCCGGTTGCCTTGACGACAGGAGGCTGCAGGCTGGGCGCGCTCCCGCGGCCGTGCACGGTGCTGCTGCCCGGCTGGTGCTGAGCGCAGCGCAACGCAGCGCGCCCGTCCCACCGAGCCCCCCTGCGGCCCCTACAGCCCGGCCCAGGTAAGCGGCAGCCCCTGCGGTGCTTTACTGCAGGGAGCCTGGGGGGGGACAGGGGACAGCCGGGTCCCCTCCCTGGGGATGGGGCTGCGGGATGCTTGGGGTGCCTGGTGTGCATGAGGGGGTGCAGGGGGGGTGTTGCGAGGAACCGGTTTATGTTCACCCCCCAGGGCAGGGTATCGTGTACCCAATCCTTTCTGTGAGCTGGGGGGATGCGCACGTGACCTTCAGTCCCCCTGTGTGTCCGTGAGGGTGCTGAGGCTGTGACCCTGCTGCTGCCACGGGTATGCCTCAGTTTCCCTGGCTGCTGCAATGGTCTGGAGGGGAGAGGACTTGTGTTATCCCCACCATCGCTGTCTCCTTGCCCAGATGAACGCCTCACCCTGTTGCTGAACCCCTCCTTTTGTTGCCTTCCCCCCAGCTTCTCCGTTTCCTACCCCCTCACTGAGCCCCCCACCCCAGGCCTCTTCCCCCACCACTGACAGCCAAACCCCCGGCACCTGGGGGCTCCATGGCAGCCCCATTCCCCTCCTGTCACTGCCAGCCCTGGGCTCGCAGAGAGGCAGGGGATGGGCCCCCCCCCAAGCACACAGCGCTCTGCCTCCCCCCTTCCTAATATGGAAGCACCCCCACATCCTCCAGCACTTCTCGGCTTAATTGCAAAACACATATTTGGATTTCCATCTAAACCCCACTCCTGGGACTGCAAAAATCCCTACTCAAGAGTCAGAGCATCCTTGTTTACAGCAGCGAGCTAAGAAGGCAGACTGAGAAGAGCTGCAGAGCTGCAAGGCGAGTTGGAACCCCAGCAGCTGAGGCTCAGAGCAGTTTTCCCTTCCCCAGGCCTGAGCACATTATGGGGCTGACAATCCTGCTCCAGATCTCTGCACCCTGCTGGTGTCTATCCACATTCCTGGCACATCCGTTGTACCTGTGCTGCAAGCTCCCCCGGAGATAAACGCTTGTGTTATCTGCAAATGCCATGCATACTTCCAGAAATCTGAGCGATGCTTGTAAAATCCCTTAGAAGACTTTGATGGGTGTCCTGCGTGCTGAGGGAGATAACGCTGGGGAGAGGAGGAGGAATATTTCTGCAGAGCACACAAAATGTCAAGCTGATTGCTGCCAGGTCTTGGAGCAAAAAGCGTCGCCCTGGTGCTGCAGCGTGGCAGCATTGGCAGCACGCAGCCCCATCCCAGCCAGATGGGCACCCTGCTGTCATCATATGGGACACGGGGCTCTTGTAGCATTCCTGGACCAATGAACCTCCTTTGCAAATGTTCCGGTCAGGAGGAAGCTGCAGATCTGCTCTCTGGACCCCCCAACCCATCCCTGCTGCCCCTGGACTGGGACAAGGCACTGCCACGGGCACATCCTGCACAGAGCACCTCTCAGAAGCTTCCCACCGTTACCATGCATCGCCCCAAGGATGTGCTGCCACTGTGTGCATTATCCCCAAACCAGCCCCACAGCACTGCCGTGTCTGAAACCCCACAGAGAAGCACCCTGTGTACGAGGGCCTCCTGAGCCCCACGCCTGGGCAGGTTTGCCCCAGGGTTCCCAATCCAGCCACAGTGGTTTTGCTGGGGGAAATGGGACACAGCCCTGCAATGAGCTGTTCTCAAGCTTAGCCTATGGCTTGGAAAGACCCAGGCTCACCTCCCTTCAGGCTTTAACTCAGTTTGATAATTGGCGGGGTGGACACACAGCCAGGCATTCCCTGGATCGCTCACGCCTCTCCATGCTGCTCAGCCCTGAGCCTGGGGCTCTGCTCAGCTCCAGCTGCCAGTAGGAATCAGCAGCACCCACTGCCCAGAACTCTCCGAGCCCCATAGGGAAGCTTGGGGTTGGGGGGAGACCCCAGGCGCCTCGCCAGGTGCCCACATCTCCCCAGGCCACTGTCACCACTGTCACACTGTCACCACCCCCGAAGTGCAGCCCCCACCTCACCACTTCACACTGCCCCCATCCCCATCTCCTCTGTCCCACAGGGGTCGCTGCTCCTTTGTGGGGGAGGAAACTGCATCTCATTCCCTGTGCCATGAGCACGCAGAGGAACCCCAGTTCTGGTTCTGGGGCTTGGGGAGGGCAGCCAGCAGCATTTCATTTCCCTTCCAGTAAAGCATCGTGGAGAGCATGCTGGCTTTGCACATGGACCTGCCGTTGTGCTGGGGTATCTCATCCACCGTGCTTTGCCACGGCAGGAGCAGCACGAGGTGCTCATACCCGTGCTGGGATACTGATCCTTGGTGCTGTGGGGGTGCATGAGGTGGGACCCTGCTCTTGGCGCTGCTGTTCTGAGTCCATTTGTCTTCAGCTGGAGTGGTTTTCACATGGCATTGCATCATGGTGGCATTGGGGCAACCGGTGCTGCATCCACCATCTGCAATTAGCAGCAATAGAGGTGAGGAAATCAGCTTCCTGCAGCCGAGCACGCAAAGTGCTGCTGAAATGCAGCCTGAATCCCTCCCAGTACAGCCCTATACTCACCCTCGGCCTCGTGTGCTTGCAGAAGGAAACCAAAATGCGGCACCTATTTCACATTACAGCTCCTCAGAAGGTGTTTTTCGACAAGCCAGGACTCTGCGTTTAATTGCAATAAAACCAGCTCAGACAATTGGCTCATTTTGAATTGCCAGGATTGCTCTGCTGTACTGATGGCCCTGCTGGGAGCCACCAAGGAGCTACAAGAGAACAGCACGCAGCAGATTGCATCCTGCCCTGCTCACGTGCTCCTGCAGATGAGGTCCTGGGGCTGCACTGGGGCTGGGATGCTTTGCAGGAGGGTTTGGCACCAAGGCTAATCCTGGCATGGCATCACTCTCAGCCCCACAGCAGGGCTCAGATCTGTCTCCTGCTTTGTCACAAACCCAAACCTTGGGGAAGGATGGGGACAGGGACATGAGTTCCATCCACGCTCTGCTCCCCTCCTTGCAGTTCATCTGCTGCAGTCCTGCTGTGGCAAAGGGCTCTGCAGCAAAAAAAAAACCCTACACTGGGAAGCTTTGCAGCCCCTCCCAGCCCCACGTGCAGGTAGCAGCATGGGGACACATGCAGACAGCTGCCACTGCACCTCGACCTGATGCATAACTCGGGGCACCGCTCCATGGCCTACAGGCTCAGAGGTGATGCTGCAGCAAAGGTGAAGCAGTGCACTCCCATGTGCTGCTCTGCTCAGTGGCTGTAGCAGACCCACTAATGGTGAATGTGACTGTGTGATGCCACCCTCTCCGTCCCCATTTCCAACATGGGGGGTGCAGACTGGTTCAAGCAGCACCCTCTTGTGCAGCTATGGGGATTCCCAGCTCCTGTGCCCGCAGCAGCAGCAGTGCCAGCCCTCTGCATTGCAGCACCTCCTGCCTGCGTGGGGTCAGCACCTGCATCCCAGCCCCCGGTACCTGCACAGGGACAGGGACCCACTGTAGCAGCAGGAGCTGTGTCTCAAGAGATGAGCTCTGCACTGAGCAGTCTGCTGGGGAGGATGGAGAGGTGCAGGGGGACCTGAGGCTGCGGGAGCAACCCAAGGACACGCCAGCGTCTGCAGGGGCGTGAGCTCAGACAAACTTCACTGCTGCAGCTTGCAAAACCCTCTGGTGGCTTTGGGGTGGTTCAGGGCAGTGAAGCAGAGCCCCTCTGCTCAGGGTTCCTGAGTGACAGCACCCAGCTGGGGCTGGCAGCTCGCCCACACCATGCTCAGCCGCCGGGCATCAGCGCCAGCCGCCTCAATGCAAAGCGATGGGCTGCAGCAGAGGGGATGGTGGGGGCTGTGCTGCAGCCCTGGGTGGTGGGCATCGAACACAGGTCTGGCTGCACGGAGGGCACACACACACTCAAGTGCATGCATGTCTGCCTGCATGCATGTTTGTTTGTCCGGGTGCACGGCAGGAGAGCAGCAACAAGGCAGCAGCATTTGCTGGGAAAAAAAAAAAACAACCAAAGCTGCAGCTCGAACCCAAATAACAGCACCAAATGCTGAGCTGCAGCAAAGCCTTGCAGCACCACACGGCCTGGGGAGCTGCATGCCTGTGGGCCCCATGGCACCCCCCCCTGCATCCCCAGCACCGCCTTGGGATGTTCCCCTGAGGTTGCCTTTGCCCTGCATCCGTGACGAAACTCAGAGCCAAAGCCAAGGTGTGAACAAATCCCAACACCTCGGGGCGCGCTGTGGGTGTGCAGGAAGGTGGGGGCTGTGATGCAGGCGCCCCATGCACGTGGGTGGGTGCTGCACGCCATGGGCTGCAGGGCACAGTGCTGGCCGCGCTCCGCACCGCCGCGCTCCCCATCCATCTGCATCTCTGCGGCGGAGCGAGGGACAGTCACACGTTTATTTTTAACTGGCTGGGGAGGACGGGCAGGGATTGGTGGGTTTCTTGGTTATATCACTAAATCCCTGCGAGGCCCTGTTAGTTCCAGCACAGCGAGCCTGGCCGTGGCGCACCAGTAACCATTTCAGCACTCGTTCCTCCATGCCCCATCCCAATGGGGCCCGATGTGCGCACAGATGGAGCAAGAGGGAACCCCACACCCTGCATCCCGTGGGTGCACCCCATGCCACCGCCCTATCCTGGGTGCGGGATGCGGCCCAGGTGTCTGGGTCTCCCGTTGCATCTCTGGCTGCGATGGTGTGTGGGGATCACATCCGTATCCCCCCACCCCAGCACTTCTGTGTGGTTTGTGGCTGTGTTGTCCCCATGCTGGTGGCAGACGCCACGCAGGGCAAGCCCAGCACATCCTGTGGGGAGCAGTGTCCCACTGTCACCGTGATGTTCACAGTCCCCTCACCATCCCTGTGAAATGCCCACCCACCGACCCCATCCCCAGGTCCCCATGCGATGCCCATCCACCAGCCCCATCTCCACATCCCCCAGCCCCACATGCAGCTCCGCACGGAGCAGCGAAGGGTTAAGCCATGCAGCAGCCCCCACGTGACGCTCCGGGGATGCCGTTTTTCTGTAGATCAGGACGGATTAGGCTGGAATATCAGGACGAGAATTTCTCCAGGCTGTGCTCCCCCCACTCCACGGCCCCCTGAGGATGCGCAGCTGCTGGGCCAGGGCCCCCCCTGGGTAAGGGCTCCCCGTGTTGCTCCCCTTGTTTCTCCCCGTGTTTCTCCACCCCAGCAGAGCAGCCTTAGGGTTTTGGTGGCTCTGCGGCAGCTCTGCCTGACCAGACATTGCATAAGAAATCCTGGGGCTCGAGCAGGGCTTGGCTGCCTGCAGAGGGTTTGGATTTTGGATGGCACCTTAGGGGGAGATACGGGGGACGTAGGAAGGGAGACAGAAAGGGCACTGTCCCCATGCCCTGCATCTGGATGCTCGCCCTGCAGCACTGCAGGAGATGGGGATGGAGATGATGGGGATGGCAATTCTGACTGGGATGGGGATGGGAATGGGGTCCCTGCTGCCCACCCTGACCCCTGTGCTCTCCACAGTGCATGAGGCTGCTGCTTGCCCGAGAGCCCCCGAGCGCCCGCACTGACGGCCGCGGCCGTGCCAGGAGCCATGTCGGGTTCCTACGACGAGTCGGCAGCAGCCGCCGAGGAGACGACCGACAGCTTCTGGGAGGTGAGCCCTCGCCAAACCCTGTCCCTGCGATGTCCTGGTTTGCTGTCACCACCTGGCCCTGCACCCTTGCCTTCTGAAACCAGCCCAGCGCCGGGGTCCCTGCTGTGGTGGCTGGGGGGGGGGGCTGTAGGAGGTCCTGCCCTACCAGCACTTACAGTCAGAGCGGGCCAAAAGGAGGTGGCCTTAAGACTTGGAGTGAAAGCTCCATCTGTGCATCCCACCATGGCTTCCATGGTCATGGCTCTATCCCCATCTATCCCTGTCCCCATCCCCATCCCTGCTCCCACCCCCTCGATGTCCCCAACCCAGGTGGGGAACTACAAGCGCACGGTGAAGCGGATTGATGACGGACACCGGCTCTGCAATGACCTCATGAACTGTGTGCACGAGAGGGCCAAGATTGAGAAGTCCTACGCCCAGCAGCTCACTGACTGGTCCAAGAGGTGGAGGCAGCTCATTGAGAAAGGTAGTGGGACACCTGGATGCCATGGGGGGGGTCTGAGCTGCGTGGGGGTGCTCACCCATCCCCTACACCCCCAGGCCCCCAGTATGGCAGCCTGGAGAGGGCGTGGGGTGCCATCATGACGGAGGCGGACAAGGTGAGCGAGCTGCACCAGGACGTGAAGAACAGCCTGCTGAATGATGACTTTGAGAAGGTGAAGAACTGGCAGAAGGACGCCTACCACAAGCAGATCATGGGGGGCTTCAAGGAGGCCAAGGAGGCTGAGGATGGCTTCCGGAAAGCGCAGAAGCCCTGGGCCAAGAAGCTCAAGGAGGTGAGAGGAGAACCATGGCATGGCCATGCCTTGTCCCAACCCCAGCTCTACATCCAAGCTGGATATCACATTTCTGCAGGCAGAGGGGCAGGGTAGGAGCTGATCGTGGTTGTGTGGTGTCCTTGTTAATCCCACGTCCATCCTCTCTTCTCCCCGTAGCTGGAGACAGCCAAGAAAGCTTACCACCTGGCCTGCAAGGAGGAGAAGCTGGCAATGACCCGGGAAGCCAACAGCAAAGCAGACCAGTCCAACACCCCCGAGCAGCAGAAGAAGCTCCAGGACAAAGTGGAAAAGTGCAAGCAGGATGTGCAAAAGGTGCGAGCCATCAGCGCTGTGGTGCAGCTCCACTGCTGCCCCTGCTGCGGGCTCATGCAGCACAGGGCAGTGGAAATGGACACCACCACTTTGTCATCCCCGTTTATTCCCATTTCCCTGTCTCTGGTTATGTGTACAAAAAGGTTACAGGCAGTAGTGAGTGCGAGAAGAGCAGAGATTTTACCTTCCCACTGGGGCAAGATCTCTCCTGCATCCTCATTTTTCCCTATGGAGGCTCCTAGCTCAAGAAGGGCTCCCCAGCATGGAGATCCAAGGGTCAGCCTGGCTCTGTGAGGGATCCGGGGGGCTCAAGGTGTAACCAGGCACCTCGTGTACCCTGCAGACTCAGGAGAAGTACGAGAAGGTTCTGGATGAGCTGAACAAGTGCACCCCACAGTACATGGAGAGCATGGAGCAGGTCTTTGAGCAGTGCCAGCAGTTTGAGGAGAAGAGGCTCAACTTCCTCAAGGAGGTGCTCCTGGATATCAAGAGGCACCTGAACTTGGCTGAGAGCAGCAGGTAGGTGCTCTCCCTGCTGTCTGGGCAGAAAGCACCCATGTGAGGTCTCCCTGTGCTGCCCTGAAGGACCAGGTGCTTCCCATCCCCTGCAGTACCAGGGAGTGGGCTCTGATCAACATGATGGTCACTGAGTGGCACCAGAGCGGTGTTCCCCAGTGCCTCCTGGGGGGTGGCACAAAATGGGCATCGTAGCATAGAATCACAGAATCACTCAGGCTGGAAAAGACAACCAAGATCACCAAGTCCAACCCCAACCTACCCCCATTAAGCCTTCTAACCACGTCCCTCAGTGCCACATCTCCATGGTCCATCTCTGGGGATGGTGACACCACCACTTCCAGGGCAGCTGTGCCACTGCATCACCGCTCTTTCCGCGAATAAATTTTTCCTAACATCCAACCTGAACCTCCCCATCCCACCATCCCACCCCCATCCTGTGGATCCACCCCCATGGCACCCCTCTTCCCACAGCTACGCCAACGTTTACCGGGAGCTGGAGCAGACCATCCGCCTCTCAGATGCTCAGGAGGATCTCCGGTGGTTCCGCAGCACCAGTGGCCCTGGCATGCCCATGAACTGGCCCCAGTTCGAGGTGAGGCTCAGCCCCCCCTGTGGTTGGGACCCACGTCCCAACGGCTGAGTGCTGAGAGCCTCATGCCTTGTGCCTCCAGGAGTGGAACCCGGACCTGACGCACACGATAACGCGCAAGGAGAAGATGAAGAAGGGTGAAGGGGTGACTCTGACCAACGCCAGCAGCACGGGCGAGAGCGGGGCGTCAGCAGGAGAGCGCGGGAGGTGAGTGCCATCGGGGTGCTGCAGCCCGCTCCTAGCACTGGGGAACGCATGGGATTTGCCTGTGCAAACACTCCTGCTGCCACCTTGGGGTGGTCCTTGGTGGCAGATCTGCTCCATCCTCCCATGGGCAGTGCTGTTAGCTGGGGTCCTGCTTGCTGCATCTTGGGAAGCCCCCCGGCTCGGGGTGCCTGCCCATCCCAAATCTTCTCTCCCTCTCATCCCAGCGTCAGCAGCCACGACCGCGGGCAGACCTACAGCGCCGAGTGGTCCGACGACGAGGGCAGCAACTCCTTCAATGCCAGCGAGGCCAACGGTGGAACCAACCCCTTTGATGAGGACTCGGCAGGGAAAGGCGTGCGGGTGCGGGCGCTGTACGACTACGATGGGCAGGAGCAGGACGAGCTCAGCTTCAAAGCAGGTGATGGGATGCCCCACGCGTGATTCCCCTGTTGGGTGGAAAATCCACTAAATCGTGTCAGAGTTGCCCAAGCTCTTTGGCAGAGAGAATCATTAAGGTTGGAAGAGCCCTCCAAGTCCAACCTTCAGCCCGTCACACTGAGAGGGGAAGGCACGACACCGGGTGGGATGGGAGGGATGGGGCACAGGAGGAATCACGGGACACTCTTTGCATTCGTGCCTTGCAAACCTCACTCAGCACGAACCCCACACCCCAGAGGACGCTCCAACAGCAAGCTCTCCCTTCCTCCTTGTCCTCCAGGGGACGAGCTGACCAAGCTGGGTGAAGAAGACGAGCAGGGATGGTGCAAAGGGCGCTTGGACAACGGGCAGCTGGGGCTGTACCCCGCCAACTACGTGGAGGCAATCTGAGTCTTGTGTTGTGCTCCTCGTCGCCGTCTGCAGATCCACCCGCCCTCCGTTGTCTCCATTCTCTGCCAGCCCACCGCCATCGCTCCGTCTGCTCCGTCACTCCTCCCTCTTAGAGATTCAGACATATTTTCCGACCGAGCTTTTATTTTTTTAAGAGTTGTCTCCGAAGAGTATTTTGCATAGTCGCTTTTTTCTTCTTCTAAGATAAAGTGAAGCGAAAGACGACGCCGTCCGTTCCGCGCTAGCTGATTTTTCCCAGCGAAAATCCGATACCTCAAGATCTTAAAGCCCAACCAGCGACAGCTCCTCCTTGGTTGGTTTTTAAAGATACTGAACTCATGAGCCGCCTTCTGATTGGCTGGAACTGTTCCGAAACGCACGGCGCTGGTCTCCTGGGACCAACCTGATTCGCCCCTCTCTGAAAAGAAAAAGAGAGGCAATGGGGTTTTGCACCTTTTATTTTATAATGTTTTCACGTTCTCTGCTCCGATTCCTCCTCCATCCCGAAAGGAAGGGCACAGACGTCCCCTCCTGCCCCACAGCCACCTCTCCCCATCGGGGGGGAAGAGGAGCAGCCCCACCACGGCGCGTGGTGGCACCTCTCCATCTTGCTCCTCCTCCTCTCCGCCCAGAGCTGCGCCCTGGGTGCTCTGCAGGGAGCAGCGCTCAGTGAGGGCGAAGCACGTCCCGAAATGTCTCTTCTTGGCCAAGGACCCCACCACAGCCCCACGCAGCCAAACTGGGAGAGAGTGGGGACCCTCTGGGTGCTGCTGGGAGGTTGTCCTCTGACCCCTTCCAGAGGTCCTGCAGGGGGAGAGAAACTGCAGCCGCGCTCGCTCCGTTCCTTCACCCACACTATGCGTAGAGCTCAGCCCCCCAGCACCCATGGGTGCTCCCACATAGCCCCCACCCCTCTCCCCTCCTCACTGCCCCACGCACTTCCCTACAGCTCATCACCGTTTATTTCTTTCCCACCTTCCCTTGGCTTTGCGAATTGTTTGGCTCCAGGGACGCAGCGCTCCTCCGGGGGCAGCTGTGGGCACTGCGCCCCTCCTGCCCGGCACACGAATGGGAAAAAGAAAAAACAACAACCCACACAAAAAGTCAGATTAACAAACCCCGACCGCCCGTCTCAGCAATGCACCCCGGTTTTTGTACATTGATTGTGTAATTTAAGAAGTATATATATAATATATATATATTGTGATTGTAATGACCGTGGATACAACAACTAAAGCAGCAAGCGAAAATAACCGACCTCTGTGCGCATCCTCCGGGTCTGGGTTTGGGGTTGTGTGTGCAGATCCCGCTCTGCCCTTGGGGTTGTGGACCTCGATGTGGGGTGAGTGCCAAAATCCCCACCTCCCCCCCACCCCCGTGCCCTCTGCAGCCCCAGGATGCGGCACTGGGTGCTGCAGGAATGGGGCTCGCTGCCTTTGGGGTCAGCTGGGAAATGGCACAGGGAGCTGTGGATCGTGCTGGGGGGCTGTGGGAAGGGGAGCACACCCTGTGGGATGGGCCAAGCCATGGGGCAAAGCCTTGCAAAGCCCTCAGGGGGATCTGAGATAAACCAGGTGGAGAGCATTCCCAGTGAAGGCAATGGGATCCTGAGCTATACTGGGGAAAGTGGGAGGTGGGAAAGCCCTGAGGTTCTGGCACGGCGTGCAGAGACTTCCTACAAACCCAAACCCACGGGAGGTGCAATGTGTGGGTCACCAGCCCCTGTCCCAAGCAGCCCTGGGAAACAGCAGCAGCTGTGAGCAATGGGGGTGGAGAAAGGGGGAGAGGGGGCAGAAAAGTGATTTTCCCTTATGTACGCAGCAGGGCTTGGGGCTGACCCACAGTGCTGCCCCTGTGCCCACGGCGAGCAGCAGCAGGACAAGGGCAGTTCAGTGGAGGTACAGGCAGAAACGTGAGCATGAATCATTTTTTTTCGCAGGGATTCGGGTCTCCCTTCTGCCCTCTCCACCTGAACCTAAAGCACAACTCACCGCCAGGCAAAACCATGAAGAAAATCAAACAAATAACGACTGTAATATACAAGGTGGACATCGCCGGGTGGCCCAGAGCTTCGTGAAATGTGCAGTTCCCACCATCCCCCAGTTCTGTGTCCGGAGGGGAATGGCAGAGCTGTGTCTCTTTCTCTAAGGAACAGGACAGGCGAAGGGGAATCCCAAACCCAGCAGAGAGCACCGTGCTGAGGATGAGGGCTGGGGGATTCCGGGGGTCCCCGTGCCCAGGGCTGGGGGTGCGGCTCAATGGGGGCTGCTGAGGGAGCTGAGGTCCCACGTTGTGCAGCCCCTCCCTGTGCACAGCGCACATCCTCAGCCATGAGGTGGGATTTGAGGTGGGACCCCCCCATATTTGCAGAGGGATGGGGGATGCATCTGTCCCGGGGCCTCGTGTCTCTGTGTGGTGCGAACCCATAGCAGATGGGGGTGGGTGCCCCAGCTCCCTCCCACCTCCCCGTCCCTTATGCTCAACCCACAGGGTGAAGCCAACATGCCCGACCCACAGCCAGGGCCGTTGTCCTCGTTTGTGCCGTGAGCCCAGCTTTGTTCTCCATCCCCATCCCGTGCCCAGGAGGAAGGGATGGAGTGGGGTCCCACCGCTGCACCCCATATTTGGATGGCTCCATCCCCGACATCCAAGAGCTGTTCTGGGGGTTCATCCGGGGCAGCTCTGTTGCAGCTCAAGGGTTTGCTGGCAAGAAATCCAAAACGACCCCAAATCCCAGCCCAGTGGTGGCACAAGGGCAGGGTGCTCCCTGTGCTGGGGCAGGTGATGCCATAGAGTTATGGGGGTCTCCTATGGGGGGGGCATGTCCTGGTGATGCCCAGGGCTGTAGAGAAGGGAGGGCAGTGTATGGGGACAGCAGGTCCCCAGCTGCAGCCCCGGTGACCCCGAGCACGCTCTCACCATCGATCCCAAGACTGCAGGCAGCCCCCCCTCAGCTCCTCAACACATTGTCTGTCATTTCCGTGTCCCTCTTTGCAGCCTCCAGCCCCTAAATCCACACCATGCATTGTCCTGGCACTGGAGCTGGGCACAAAGCCATGCTCTCTGAGCTCATCCCCACTCCAAGTACGGGCTCTGGGGACAGAAGGGTCCCTACGGTCCACAGGGATGACTCCAACCACGGTCCTAAAGCGCTGGAAGACGATGATGAGGTCGTGGAGGGCAGTGAGAGTCCCCCACGCCCCCGAGGCTCAGTCCCTCAGAGCGGGTGCACAAACTGGTAGACGAGGCGCTGCGAGATGTCGGGTTTGCGGATGATGCCCTTCTTGTAGTACTGCCGGATGGAGCGGCTCAGTTTGTCGTAGTTCATGGCTGGGCGGTTCTTCCGGATGCCCCACAGTCGCGCCACCTGCGCCGAGTCCTCGATCTTGAAGATCCCTACGTGGGGGGAGCGGGGATGGGAAGTTTGGGGTGACCCCCCTACGGACCCCCTTCCCCTGACCCCAGGAGTGCCCGCCCACCTTTCTCCTTGTTGAGCCAACGGATGAAGCGTCCGTAGTTGTGGGGTTTCAGCAGCAGCTCCTTCAGGAACTGCCACAGGTGGATGGGCTGCCCGGCGCAGGATGAGTCCACCTCGCCGTCCGCCCATCCGCTGTCACCCCCTGCACAGGGAGGTGTGGGGTGGTTGATGAGCCCCGGGGTTGGGGCAGGAGGCAGCAGGGAGAACAGCGGGGTCCAACCATCAGCTGCCCCATAGCATGAAGCCCCCCCATACCCCATGCTTGCATCTGGGGCTGAAACGAAGGTCAGAACCCCGCCAAAGCCACGCAGAACTCACCGCAGTATCTCACATCTCCCGGGGCAGCTTTTTCCTTCATCCACGCAGCTGGAAATTGGGGAGCGGGCGGTCAGAGGGAGCCCAACCTGCAGCTCCGCGCTCCCCCCGGCCCCCACGTACCCGACTTCCAGATGTCCAGGTGTGCATGCAGGACATCGCCGCAGACGGGCGAGCGTTGGCAGAACTGCTCCTCCGACATGGCGCACAGCTCCTTCCCTGACAGCTCCTGGAAGGACTTCCCGAGCTGCGGCAGTCGGTACTGATGCTCCGTCCACAGGATCCACTTCTGCACGTTGCCAGGGCTCCAGTCTGCGGGGTCTGGGGTTGGGGGCAGTGAGAGCAGCGTCACCCCATAGGGCCGGGGGTACCCTGAGGTCGTCCACCCCCGTGGGGCCAAGAGTGGGGAGGATGAGCGAGTCCTTTTCTCCTCATTTTGAGGGGTTTTTGGGGGACATTTAAGGAGCCTTGCAGGAGGTTTGGGGGTAGGTTGGGCACTTTTGGGGCAGCCTTAGGGTATCAGAATGGTTTCGGAGCATTTAGGACATTCTGTTTCAGGGCACATCCAAACGTTTCGGGGCACTTGGAGAGTCCTGGCAGGTTTTGGGATCTGGGGGTATTTGTGGGGGAGGAGGGAGGCTGCTTAGGGCAGTTTGGGTATCTTAGAGTGTGTTTGGATCTTCTGGTGGTGTTAAAGGGGGTTGGGGGCATTCTGAGTGGCTCAGGGTCTTTTGGGGGTATCAAAGCACACGGGGCACTTTGGGGCAGTTCTGCAGTATTTTTGGGAACATTTAAAAGCTTTGGGGCCATTTTCGGGGGTCTGGAGTGATCAGATGGGTTTGGGGGCATTTTATAGGTTTCTTTTTTTGGGGGGGAGAGGAGATCTGCAAGCACCCACCTGCAGCAATGTTGAGCAGCTTGCACGCCGTCTCGATGTCCTTCAGCACTTCGCCCACCACCATGCTCTGCATCTGCTCCAGTGAGTGCTCCTCCAAGGGCAGCCCCCCCTGCAGCTCCCCATCGCCCCCCAGCCCCAAACCTTGGCTGTCGATGATGGGGCACTGCTCCGGCTCCTTCTTCACCTCCCCTCGCCCCCCTGGGACGCCGCTCTGGGAGGTCTCCCCCATCCCTTTGGCAGCCCACGCGACGTCCTCCGAGTAGAGCATGTCGAAGTAGTGCAGGCAGAAAGGGGTGCTGGGGGGGCTGGGGCTGCCCATGCTTCCAGTGCTCAGACCTGGGATGGGGGGGGAGGAGAGGCTCAGGCACAAAGCAGTGCTAAGCCTGTTAGAGGGGGAAAATCCTACAAAGAGAAGCACGGAGCCCAGGGAGCCTTCGGAGGAATGTTGGCTTAGGGTTGTGATGCGGATGGTCCCGGTTTTGGGGGTGGGAGATGGAGTCTGGTTATGGGGCACTGGGGAGTCCTGGGTGAGGCTGAGCCCCCAAAGCCCGCGCATGTGGGACGTGGGATGCTTAAACCCTGCGATGTGCATGGAGAGCATCAGCTGAGCGCATCCCAGCAGCGGGGGCTCCGGGGGTGGCTCCCCTGGGCCAAATGGCTTTGGCCACCCCTGGAAGACAACTTTCCCTTCACTCCATTGCAATAAAAGCTGCTCCCATCTGTCCGTCTCCATCCACTGA